GTGTATGCTGGATGAGGTATGCTCAGGACCAAGGACATCTGCGTGGATGCCAGAACACAGTGCATAGGAATTCCACAAGGACCCTGAGACCAGGAGGAGGTTGGCATGCTTAAAGAACAGCAAGGAAGGGGTTGGGGATACAGCTCAGTAGAATAGGTGCTTGGTTGGCAAGTGCAAGGGCCTGAGTTCAATCCCTGGTTCAAAAAAAAAAAAAAAAAAAAAAAAAGAACAGCAAGGAAGCTGCGAAGGAGAGAGAAGAACAGAGTAGACTCTGGAGGCCGAAGGTCTGGGTCACACAGGGCAGTGTGCGCTCAGGGAAAGAGTGTGTACTGGATCCTACCTATGACCGCCCTTGTTCATTCACAGAGGAAATGAACTGTAGCCGCAACACGATCACTTCCTTATGCCCTGGAAGTTGCCCTCAAATTGCCTCTGGAGATCCACTCTATTCCAACCCTGATTCCACATGCTTTTGTGGATGGGTCACATAACAGGACGACTCTCCCATCCCCATCTCCCAACTCCCTTTGACCCAGCAGTGCTTATGACACATAGGGAAGCAGTGGCTGGGATCACTGCGGAGCCACCACCCACAGCCTGAGTGGGAAGGAAGGTTAAAACAAGAGACAAAGAAAACAAATGGTAATAAGGTCACTCAGGCCCCAAACCTATGCCAGAAGCCAAATACAGCTTTAGGTTTTTTTTCATGAGGTAAACCAATAACTTTCTTTTCTGCTTAAGTCAGTTTGAATAAGATTTTCTACCACTCACAAAAGAAAGGCATTTTTTGGGGGTCTTTTTTGTAATTGTTTCTAGGTGAGGTTTATTTTTTGATTTTGGTGCCAGAGACCAAAGCCAGAGCTTCCAGCTTGCTAGGCAAACGTTCTACCGCAGAGCTACATCTCCAGCCCCAGGAAGGATCCTTTTTGATGCTTCGTATCTCTGTATGTGCCCTCTGTTATGGCCTGGACTGAGAAGCCCCCTAAAGGCAAGCTGATGGGCTTTGGAGAAGCGACTGGGTCGAGAAAGCTCCAATGTCCATGGTTTGCTAGCACCACTGGGAGCTGATGAAAACAGGAGGCAGATCTAGTGGAAAGGAGTGGCTGGTGGGAGCGGCACCCTGAGGACTCCCTCTTGCCGCCAGCCCCTTCCTCTCTGCCCCTGTCCTCTTTCTGTTTCCTGGCTGCCAGGAGGTTAGCAGTGGTGCCTGGCCCATTTCCTCCTCCCGCTATGATGTCATGCCTCACCACAGGCCCCCAGCAATGGATCCAGCTGACCATGGACGGGAACATCAGAGACCACCAGCCAAAATAACTTATTCTTCCTTTAGGCTGTTTGCATCAGGTACTTTATCAAAGGGACAAAAATGGGACTAACACACTCTCTAGGCCCACTCACAGCCAGTGACTCCAAGTTCTCCAGCTATAGACTGGACACACCTCTAAGACCCAGCGCCAGGCCCATCCACCTGTCAGATGTTTTCTCCTCTCTCACATCCAGGCACCTTGGATATGACAATGTACAACACAGAACTCACTAGCTCTCCTTCCTTCCAACATCCCACTGCGCTGCTACTCTTCCTGTACCCCTGGTATAACACCACTGCTCTCCTAATCTCACAAAACAGAAACCCAGGATATCCTTGACCACTCTTGACAGGTAATCTTGATGGGGCTACCAAGGCCCTAAGCAACATTCTCTGCCTGTATGACCTTTGGTAGGTTAATCAACGCATCTGAGCCTCGAGTTTCCATATAGACTCATGGGATTGAATGCCATAATGTACAGAGAACAAGAAATGTTGGTCTCCCTCATTCCCAATTGCAAATACCCAATGCATCATGAGACTCTAACTCAGCTGGGCATGGTAGTGAAGGCCTGTAATTTTAGCAACCTAGGAAGCTGAGACAGGAAAAAGCACAAGCCCAGAGTGGGTAATTTAATGACTTAGAAAGACTCTATCTCAAAATACAAAGTAAAACAGGAACTGAAGATATATCCCACTGCCACTAAAACAAAACAACCCTCTTCTCGCTGCTGTTCCCTCCGCTCAGAACCTCGCCCTCATTCTACTAGTTACTAGTAGATGTTCCTTCTCATTTTCTTATCTCTGATCTCGCCCCCACTCCAATCTGTGCTCCTTCCCACTGTTGCCAGACAGATGGCTCCCTACACAGACCTGGCCATGCCATGTTCCCTTGGCTTCCGCAGAAAGTACTCCCCAGCAGATGCCCTCCACCTCTGCTACCTGCACCCTAGATTCTCACTGCTGTTCCCCAACTGTGGGGTCTGCACATTGCTTCTGCTGCCCACTCTGAAGAGCTGGTAAACAACGAAACAAACAAAAAACAAGTCTTGTAAAAGTCAAAGGAAATACAGATTGGCTAAAGATTAAAGATGTTCACCCTGACCCACCTGGTGCCAGAGAGAGGAGGGATGTGAGTAAATGAAAAGGAAAAGCAGCTGGGAGTCAGAGTATTCTTAGATAAAGAAAGAATGAAGAAGAAAGAAGAAATGAGAACTATCTAATGTGCATCTAGGAGAGGACACCCTAAGCAGAATGGAAAACTTGAAGTCACAAGGCCGAGGGTAGGCCAAATAGCTCAGTGGATTAAAGCACCTGCAAGCAGGCAGAGGGGCCGGGGTTTCAATCCCCAGACCTGCCCATTGGGCGTGGTGGTGTAGCTCTTGGGAAGCTGTAAACTGGCAGATCACTAGGAGTCCAATCTAGTAGTGAGATGCTGAACACCCTGTAGACCCTTCCTAAAATATAGAAAAAAAAAAAAGCAGAATGATACAGAT